CCACCTCAGATGTCTAAAGCACCGGCTAATCCTGTGGACACATCGTTCGAATTCGAGGTGGATCCAACCGCGCTGAAAGTCAGCAAGCTCGAGAAGCTATTTAAGCAGGCCCAGGGGTTTAACTCGATCCCGGACATTGAAGATGGATATACTGATTCGGCAGTGACATTGCTGGACAGGTTCAAGATGCCTCACATCGACCGTTTTAACAGGTCAGGAGATTCCATGGTCCACCTGAGGTTGTTTTCAGATGTTTTGTGCTCGATGGGCTTGACAAAATTACAGAAGCTCTCCCTTTTTGGTCGGACCCTGTCGGGTATCGCGGCCATTTGGTATGCCAAGTTGGAGGACTCAGTAAAAAGAAGCTGGGAAGAGATGGCTGAGGCCTTTGTCGCCCAATATTCATACAACACCCAGATCGAGGTTACGACTCGTGATCTTGAGACAACCAGACAAGAGCCGAAAGAGGGCTTTTCTGACTTTGTCACTCGATGGAGGGCCAAGGCCTCCATGATGACAACTCAGCCGCTTGAGAATGATCAAATAAGAATCGTTGTGCGCAATCTTCAACCCAAGCTCATGCTGAGGATGATTGTCTTACCCCTCCCCACCTTTGCTGACCTCCATGAGATTGGGATATAGATAGAGGATGCTATAAAACAAGGTCTGATTGACCACGAAAGGGAGTCACCCAAGAAGGTTTATATACGCAGTTCGAATGCGACCACCAGTGGTGATGCAACTGCAAGATCTTCTGAAGTTTGAATGGTCGCCACCACTCTGAAAACAGTCACCCCTTTTGTTGGTGCGTCCAATCCAAACCCCCAAACTTTGAACTATCTACCCCGAGGCAAAAGGGTTTTCACCCTACTTTATATGCTTTTGTCTAAAGCTCTAGGGGTCCTACTCAGGAAAGGACATTTGAAACTGTTAGGACAATGGCCTCTACCCGATCCTCTCTCTCTAAAGCATGACCCGGCTAAGTACTGTGCCTTCCATCAACAAACCGGTCATGACACTGACAGTTGCGTCCTTCTTCGCCACGAGATACAAGGTCTGATTAACAACAAGGTCATTGTCACACCAGGTCCTGCAAAGTCTATCGGCACTGGATCAGTGAACTTTGGGGATAATGTGATTATGTGATTGGGAGATGAACCACCTGCGGATAGCGTTCAGTTTACTCCAAATGTAGTGGATGGCACGCACTTTTTTTTTAGCATTGTACAAATGTTGGTTATTTTAGCTTTTTGACTTGGGTATTGAGTTAGTTTTGTTGTGTTGTATTGAGTCAGTCTTTTTACACTGAGTCAGTTGCGTCTGTCTTGTTGTATCGAGTCAGTCTTGTTGTGTTGGAGTCGGGCAATTTCGGGGGCGTTACCTCGGACATCACTATCTTGTTTCGTATTTGTCTTTTACACCCTTTCTTTTGAGTTTGTTTCTGCCATGGAGCCAGTTACGCCAGAAGATCTGAATGAAACAACAGTGATTTTCACGCTTTTGTGTTTGTTTCTGCCTTGGAGCCAGTTGTGCCAACAAATCTGAATAAAATGGCAGTGCTTTTAACCTACTTTTCTATGCCTCGAAATCATTGCATTGACCTAAGTTTTTCAAAACTTTTTGAACACTGTGATGAAAACAAAGATGAAGGAATTCCTCGGGATTTGCAAAAATTTGATCAAATTGAGAGGAAGAGATGCATGTTAAGCCCTTAATGAATGAGATCATGCTTGTTAATGTGAGTACTGAGAAAGATCCTGGCTTGATCCAGATTGGTTCTACATTGTCTTCAGCGCGAGCGACTAGTCGCTTTCTTAAAAGATTTCAAAAAAATGTTTTGTGTGGTCCCGCGAAGACCTATGTGGAATCCCTCTTGAGATTGTGCAGCAGATGATCATTCTCAGCCTCGAGACTCGACCCCTTTTGCTTTCAGACCTTGAACTTGGATTCAGAATGTTTAATGGTCAACCACAATGTGAGGCTTGTATATCTAGAGCAGAAGCAACCCTTGAACTAGGGGCAAGAAAAGTCAGGTCAAGAAGGTCAAATGTGATCAAAAGAAGCTTGCAAAGCTAGATCAGAAGTAGCCCTTGAACTAGGGGCAAAAAGGTCAGATGTGCTCAAAGATTCAAAAGATGAGTTATCCCGCAAACCAATAAAGACTGGCAAGAAAGCCAAATTCGAGAAACGGAGAGAATAAAATTTTTGCTAATTCCAATCCATAACACTAGGGGCAACTTCAGCCCCCCTTGGATGGACTCCTACATCATCAACAAATGGCAGCCATTCTCCTAGATTCAGATGGCTTCGAGATCTCAAAACTGATCAACATGGTCAAGTTATAACTTTTTTATCCTTGAGAGGCTCGCTAGGTCGAAAACCCAGAAGGGCGACCCAGACAAAAGTTAGAGTAAGAAAAAGAAAAGAAAAAAAGAAAAAAGAATGAAAAGAAAAGAAAAGAAGAAAAAGAAATGAAATGAAAAGAAAAGAAAAACAGAGTGTAACAAGCCCGCGGGGGGACCTCGCTACAGCTCGGACTCGACTTTTCGTAGTCACGGTTCTAAGTCTGAACCAAAGAGTCCAAATCCGGCAAATCGTTTTGAGAAAACAGATTTTTGAAAGAAGTGCCAAACATGGACTGCTTTGCCAGATACAGAGTAGCGCCACCTAAATATTTTAGTTTTTTGGAAAATTTAGAAACCCTGACTGGTGCCAAAAGGCCACGTGTCCGTCCATCACCAAAGTTGCCTCGGCTCGGGAACTTGGGTAGATTGGGGAAGGTCGCTTCGTGAGCACCCCCGCTCCCAGCACCGGGTCATAGACCGGCCTCTACTAACCATGATATCAATTTTTGAAACACATTGTGAGTTCTTATTCCCGGTTTTATTAGCCTAGGTTTACTATGTGATGCGCACAGCATACAATATAGACCGGATCGCCCGAATTGGAACAAAAACATTTCATGCTTGTTTATTTGAAAATGGTTTGATGGTGCTACTCGCAAGTAGGCTAAGACGTGGATTTGCCACCCTCGGGTGGGGCTTAGAAAAATGTGATTTTGCCACTATCTAGTGGGCCTAAAACTCACAGTCAATGATTTGTTCCAATTTAAACAACCCGCCTTCACCCACAGGCATTCAGGCAGTTATATCACATAAGCGCACATAGCCTCATGGTAAGCATCTATTCATGGCATTCACTCACACGCATGCAAGGATGCTAAAGCATAGAACTTACCGAGTAACTACCAAGCCAAAACAAAAAACTTATTAGAAATCATGCATGACCCTAAGTAATACAGAAATGCAAAATGCAACACATGGCAAAATGCAACTATAGCAGGCTCGGCATATATCTAAACATGGCATATGGGAATGCTACAGCTAACATGTATTCAATTTGGAATTGAAAGTACAATGCAGTTAGTATGATGCGCCGAGCCCGGTGCGTGCAATCGGATGAATGATGCAAACATGCTGTCATACTGTATGCTAATTTAAATATGCCCTAATCATCCATCATGAACGGATAAATAAAAAGGGAGAAAGACGTGGGGTTGGAAGACATACATCACACTCACGCACGCATATTACAGTTGTGCCCTCACTCGGAGGGTCCGAATAAAATAATACAGTCCGAATATTACAGTCCCCAAAATAAAGAATATTACAGAAATTTCG